TGTATTTCTTTAAGAAATATTTTATGGTTTCCATTATATGTTTATATGCCTCACTGAGTCTATGACTTAGCGTGTGATTGTTTCACACGTAGGTTTCGAGAAGAGGAAGATTGATAAAAAGTTATGCAAGACAGGTCAGTTCCTCTTTTCCAAAGATCAGATCAGAAAATAATTAAATAGTATATATTTTGTAATAATGATAGTGGTTAGCATGCAATAAAGATTTGAATTTGATATGTTTTTATTGGTTTGTAAAATCATATGATTGAGTTTTGTAATGTTTTAAATGTGTATTTGTACACGGAAATTTTATATGAATGAAAGATAAGTATTTTATGAGTTTTATACATATTTTGCCGAGGCACTGCGGTAGTACTGTAGCAGTAATGTAGCAGGGAATCGGTTCCCTGTAGCAGTAGAATCGATACCCCTAAAGCAATCTGGAAAATTTTAACATTTGATACTGTTCACGATACTGTTCATACGGTACTGCTCATACCATATTTTACTGTTCATGAAAACGTATTTTTTCCAAATTGGTTTTAACGAACATAATACAATAATATATGATCGTATTTTATTAATATAAGTTCAAATATTCTGTTATTTTATTCGAATATTGTTTTAAAAAAGTCAATGTGACATCTCGGACTCGTATTCGGGTCGGGTACGGGTTGGGGTGTTACACATAATCCGAAAACTAATTTACGTAGTGAAATGAACTTATTTAGCGTTACTGCTTGGGGAAATGACGTTGGTGAATCATTTTCTTTGATGCCAAGGTGTTCTTGCGTCGCTAGCTTGGACTTTGACTTAAATCTGCAACTTAGAACATACAATCCATACAGCAGTGCATGGGTGCATCATCTTCTCATAAGGAAATGAGGTTGTAAGAAGATGAAGCGTTTAACCCATTCAAAGATTTACTAACATCTATGGGGAGATATTCTTGTGCTAGTGTCGTTGACTTTGATCTTCGTAGTACAGTTTGTGAGCGGTCTCGTGATCGACATACATGTGTTACTCCTACTGTCTTTGTAGTCGACAACACTGAACTATTTTGGTTTGATGGGGATACTTTCGACGAAGAACCATTAAGGGAGATCCCCCAGATGGTAACAATGTAGACCCCTTCAATGAAGAACCAGACAACCTTGACATGCCAGAGGGAGCAAATGATGATGACATTCCACATATCGAGCCTTCTGTTTCTTATTACCGACCACTATCCCACTTCACAACAGTTTAGATGAAACATTTAAGCTCTCTCAACTTTTCAGAATTCCCACAGACGAGCAATATAACGAACATGGTGATGGCGAGCTCTATGTTGGAATGACATTCAAAACAAAAAAACTCGTTGTGGTTGCAATTAAGAACTACAATATACGCAGTCAATTATATCGATTGTGAACAAAATAAACTCGAATAAGTACATCACTGAATGCGTCCACAAGTCTAACAGATGTAATTGAAGGGTTCAAGTGTCACGCTTGAAGAGGATGAACAACCTATGGAAGCTAACAACATATGAATAACCATATACATGCACCGTTAGTAGGCTCACTTAGGATCATCCAAACTTAGATGTTTATGTACTTTGTGATGCCTTCATACCACTGGTCAAAGCAAATCCATGCATTATGGTTTCCATTTGTATTGCTGTAATCACATCTCAGTACGACTACACTATTAACTACCATAAACCATGGTACACTAGGTATCATGCTCAACAAAATGTGTATGCCAATAGGAAGAATCATACAAAGAGTTGAGGCCATGGTTGAAACTGATGAAGAAGTACATATTGGGCACGGTCGTCAAATTGAAAAATATGCTGATGTACGAAAATGATAATATTGTACAAGGGATGAATGCATAATGATGCTTCGAATGGGTACACCTTTCAATTTATTTGGATTCATATATTTTTCATTTATTATTTATAATTAACTGTTGCATTTTCAATGGGTAGGCACTCACATTCTACATGCGAGGTTAACGAGTTGTTTGAAGAGTTGAGATACATGAATCACGAAGGCTACAACTACCTTGCTAGGACAACGAACGTAGTTAAGGAAATCAATTCATCACTGAAGGGATCACGGTATTTGCCTATCACTTCCGTTGTCAAAGCGACATATTATCGTTTGAAAACCATGTTTGCAACCTTGTAAAGGAAAGCAGATGAGTGGATTGCAATTGGTCACATAATCTACACAAACCTCCATAAAAAATTGCAAACCTTTCTGCAACACTTAAACGCGATGAGTGCGACATGCGTCTCTTGCGAACAAAATCAATTATGTGTTTCGAAATATTCCAGGCCATTCGAAGGCATACAACACAAGGCATACATTGTCAATCTAAGTGATATAACATGCAACTGTGGAGTATTCCAAACATTTAAATATTCGCGTCCCCATGTAATTTTCCCTTGTTTTTCTGTAAGGATTGACTACATGCAGTTTATTGATCATGTGTGCTTACTGGAAATTGTATCCAATGTGTACTGGTACGAGTTTCCTCCGATCGAAACGAAAGGGATCCAAATGCGATTGATGATGAACTTACAATACGTCCAAATTTTGCACTACAACTCCAAAAAAGGGTCTATCCACGCTCAACGTGGATTTATTGTGACGAAGCTTTGGTTGACCATCGAGAAAGAACCAGAAAATCGAAGCTTTGTAGTATTTGTACGAATCCCAAGCATTCGAAGAAAAAAATGTCCTAATCGATCACACCCTAATTGCGATTAGTTTGTTAGCATATTCTTCATGCGAAAAACCAAGCTTTAAAACCATTTTGAACGCGATTTTTACCCCGATCACAATGTCTCGTGTGTGCTGATATTACTTTCAATAAAAAAATCAGTTACAATACTACACATCTGTTATTATAAATTATGCTATTTTTTATATTAACTACCAGAAAAAGCCATCGAATATGCCTACCCAACCACTTTGCCATTTCTTTCACACACAAAACAAGTTTTGGAACAATTTTTACCCTGATTTTTAACCCACTTGCACTATCTCATATGTCTATATATTTGTTTCAATTGAAAGAAAAATTCGAATACTACGTCTTTAATCTTTTAGCTGTCCAAAATTTTGAAATTAAATACCCGAACATGTTCCCCGAACATGACTATCATCACATGAGATTTGTGCTGGAAAACAAAGACTTTTTTTTGGAAAATGCAAGGAACCTTGAATACCACTCGCGATAAATTTCTCGCGACGACTAATTTTCTCAGAAACTTCGCTTTACTCAAAACGCAAGGTATTAAACACTAATATTAAAATATGTCATCTGGAAATGTCATCCACGTCAGATGTTCCTTGCGCCTTGTAGATTGCGAGACAAGTTCTTACACTAGATTAGACTCGAGATAACTCTACGTGTACAGTTTGAAAATTATTTTTCTAACAAATTGCTAAAGGGTTACTGTTAAAAAAATAATTAATGTGGGGTTTTAATATAATATTGCCAAAAGTTTTATCATCATATTTTATATGTAAACAGCTTTGTCTTTTCTTTGGCATTAGTTCTCTGCGCATTTGAAACACCAAAACCCCAAAAAAATCCAAAAAAAAAAAAAAAACAAAGAGGGAAAATGGGCAGAGGAAGTGGAGGTGGCTAAGATCGACATATCACCATCTTCTCTCCTGAAGGTCGCCTTTTCCATGTCGGTATGTATATTCACTCTATCATCCTCTTCTTCTTCCTCGAATATTTTGAAGTTCTTATTTATAACAAGTTTTTTATTTTTTGTTCATTTTCACTCGATTTTTATTTCGATTAAATTGGGCAGAGTATGCTTTTAAAGCAATAAAAGCATCTGGGATCACATCGATTGGTGTTCGTGGAAAAAATTCCGTCTGCGTTTTTACTCAGAAGAAAGTTCCCTTTCGTATTCTCTGTTATGTTTTCTGGGTTTTTTCTTTTGATTGAGCGTCTTAAGCGTTTTTCTTGATCTGGGTGTTCAATTCTTTTTTGAATGATTGCGATGCAGGATAAGCTTTTGGATCAGACTAGCGTCACTCATCTTTTCCCTATTACCAAGTTCCTTGGATTGGTAGCTACTGACATGACAAGTTTACTTAGAAATATGTTTTTTCCCCATCATTTTCTTTTGATGGTTTGAATTATCAATATTTTCTTTGTCTTGACTAAGTGAACTAGAGTTTTGGTGATATTTAAGTATTCTAGGTTGTAATAATGCACCTCATCTCACACCTATAATCAGTCAACATTAGGTTTTTAAAAATTCCAATTTTTCATCCTTCTATTCTGCATATTAACCATCTTCCATTCATTTTTCTTCAAATCACAATCATGAGGCTTATTAACAAACACCAAAAGAGGAACCTTAGTTCAGTGTTGTCAAGGTGTGCTCTGAGGTACCTGACACCCTAGCATTATTCAACAGAAATGTTGTTCATGCCCATTTGAGCACGCTATTTTAAAAGATGATAGTCGTAAAAAAGGCCTCCTGATTGATACTCTTTAATTTCTTTGGTTTTTCACCTTGTTTTCATTTGTATACCTTTACTAGTAAGTCAAGGAAAATATCAAGCTCTATACTCTTTAATAATTGAGCATTCAACAACAAAAATTGACCATAAGGAAATCATGCTTATTGACCAATAAAAATATTGCATGCTTTGTAGACAAAATTATACTCCACTTTAAAGAGTTTATCACATCTTAAGCTTTATATATATATGTGCCTGAGGCAATATAAGGGTTTAAGAACCTAGGGCCTTTGACAGAATTGCTTTAGCTTGAAAACAAGAAATGCACAAGAAAATCCTGAAAGAGAACTGAAAATGATAAACAAGAAACTTTATGGCTGGCTTAACTTACCTTCGAAATTTCATTGGGAGTAATGGTTTGATAAGGTTCATATGATACTTTTCAGCTGATGCTAGAACCATGGTCCAAGAAGCAAGGAATGAAGCAGCTGAGTTTTGGTTCAGATATGGATATGAGATGCCTGTGGATGTTTTGTCCAAAAGGTATGTTGTATCTTATTTAATGGAACTTTTTGATCTTAGTGTTTCCCATTGGTGAATCATGAATGTTGTATCTATCGAGCTCAATCTAGTTAATGTTTGAACAAGTTTAGAGACTTAAAGACACTAGTCATTATGTTTGAAACATTTTATGACCTTGTTCTTTACTGCTCTTCTTAATATCGAGACGGGGCATGTTCTCTCTACTTCACTAGTTCATTCATAAAAAATGAAAAATCCACCTAATTAAATTTATTCTTTTGAATTCATCGTTGAGTTTTCTTTGATGTTTTTAGGACTCCTGTCCTTGTCAATTACCCATAACTAATTTAGTTTGAATTGCTTTTAATTGAAATAGGATTGCAGACAAATACAGGTTTATACTCAACATGCTTATATGAGACCTCTTGGAATTGGTAAGTATATGGGTTTTTCTAAATGTTACAAATATAAATTTTGTTTATACGAGACTTAGAATTTTTTAGTTTGTTAACACATGCGTGCAAATATGTGCTAATGTATGTTCTAAGTAATTTTCCCTAACATTATCTATGCTTCCCTTAATATGTTGGTTTTTTGTGAAGTTGCTATGGTTTTGGGCATTGATGAAGACAAGGGACCCCAACTCTACAAGTGCGATCCAGCTGGCCATTTTTATGGTCACAAGGTAGTTTTCAAATGAATTTTTATTGCTCGTTGAGTTTGGATTCTTTCTCTGGTTCTAAATACTTGGCTCTGGAAGTCATGTTTTGTTTTGATTATGACTTGTTATTGTTTTTCTCTAATATATCTCTTTGACTATGTTACTATTTACGTTGCCAGCGTATAAATATATTTGCTATTCCATTTTGTTTACTATGTGCTTATGCAAAGGAGGCTTAGCAAGGAGTTGTGAGAATGGGAATTGTCCAATAATTTCGAGTTACATAACTCTTTGCTCCTTCCCACATAACTGTATTTCAGTTATATTAACTATACTTTTCTTTTTCTGTCGATAAAAGCATTGAAGTAGCATGTTTGTTCCGTGAAGTGGTTGGTGAAATAGAACAGATCCAAAATTCTTTTTGACCAATTTTAGGATACTCTTTTTGGTTCACTCGAATGAAATTTTGCTAATGTTTCCTTCAGGCAACCAGTGCTGGATTGAAAGAACAAGAGGCAATTAATTTCTTGGAAAAGAAAATGAAGAATGACCCTGCTTTTACTTACGAGGAAACAGTTCAGGTAAATATAGTCTATTAGCCTGTATTTTTGTTACGTGTGGTAAAGAATATTGCCAAAGACTACATGATTAACACGGGCCAAAAGTTATCAAATTTGTTTATAATTTCCTATTGCTTTTCACAGACTGCGATTTCTGCTCTGCAATATGTTCTTCAAGAGGATTTCAAGGCTAATGAGATTGAGTTACAAGTCAACTGAGCCATTTAGCGATTTAAGTACCTGTTATCTTATAATTGTGAGTTGATATTACTTGTTCGATCTTTGACAGGTTGGATTAGTGAAAGCTGATTATCCAGTTTTCAGAGCATTGTCAACTGAAGAAATCGATGAACATTTGACTGCTATTAGTGAGCGCTATTAGTGAAGATTGGGAGAAGGTTAGAGCTCCAAATCATGCTGTTCTTATTTTCACTTGAAACTAGACTCTGATTCATTTTTCTACAACATCAAATGAGTTTGATAGAGCAAGTTCAGATAATGTCAGTAGCTCCAAACTTTATATTTTTCATTATTAATCTAGTTTGAAGTTGTCATGTTATACTCATTTTCTTTTGGAGCTGAAATAACTCGGGCTGCGCAGGTTCTCGAAATGCGGGGTACTCGTAACATTTGGATGTAAAAGAACTCTGGCTGTGTGGCTACATGGAACTTTTGGATCTTAAAGAACTCGGCCCGTGTCATGGCCCATAATAGACGGGTACTCATAAAACCCAGGTATCAACATTTTTAAGTCGCATGTACGCAGTTAATATTTATCTTATTTCTTTAATTTATATTTTTAAAAAAATCACAAAATGTATAAAATTTTAAAGTTTACATTATTTAAACATAAAATTTAAAAATTTAAATTACATAATTTAAAAATAAAATATAGAAATATAAAAATAAAATAAATTTATAAAAACATAATTCAGTTTAGAATATTTTAAGGTTGAAAGAAATAATTTAAAAATTAAGGTGAATCAATTTGGAAAAGCAAAGATATAAAATGTTAGAGTGATAATTTGGAGCTAGAAATGAAAAATATAATTTAAAGCACCAATAAAATAACAATGAGAATCATGTAGATGGGTATGTAGTTAAGGAAAATTTTGTCACACAGACCCAATCCGAAACTCACGAAAAATAGTGGGCTGAGTATCAGACCCATAAATTCGGATATTTTTCTTTAAAATATTCAATAATTTTAATTTGACGAATAGAATAAAAATTAAATATTTTTAAACACTGCTAGTCGTTTAGCCCGCATCCCGGCACCGTAAACCCATGGGTTCGTAACGAACCATAGGCTATGGTCGTTGGAGCCGATTTGATTTCACTTGGGTTTGTTATGAAACTCACAAGTAGTATAACAAAAGTATATCTCATTCTCTTATTTTCAACAATACAATGACAAGCTTATATATGTAAAACTATAACCGACTAATAGCCTAGCTAGCTTAACCATCTCCTAGCTGGCAAGCTTAACAGTTTTGATAACAATTCTAACAAACTTCACAAGCTTTTAGCTACACACCAACCACAGTAACTGCACACCAATTTTTATTCTATAAAATTCTCCATATTCTTTTCCTTCTCATTGACCAATGAGAAAACCTGCATTTTGGATCAAAATTGCTCAAATGAAGATTTGGACAATGGCTTAGTAAACCCATCTGCAACCTGATGACTAACTGGAACATAATTGACAAGCACCTGTTTAGCAACAACTTTTTCTCTCATAAAATACACATCCAAATCAACTTGCTTAGCCTTTGCATGGTACACTGGATTGCTACTCATGGAAACAACACAACTATTATCGCACGAAACGACTGGTACACACTGCTGTGTAAGCCCCATATTTGAAAGTAGTGTGCTGACCTAAGTTACCTCAGCTGTTGCATCCGCCACACTACGATACTCTGCCTCCATGGTGGATCTTGAAATAAATTTTGTTTCTTAGAGTTCCAAGACACAAGGTTATCGCCTACAAAAACACAATATCATGATATTGTAACTTATAGTAAGAAACACATGCATGCTATCATCGCCTTACTTAAGAGACTGTAACTTATAGTGCAAGTTCATAACAGAAGTTGTAGATCTATTAGCAAAGAACTGAAGTATTGTATTCCAAACAGTTACAGCTGTTTCAGCACCAACAAATTGAGGCAACAAGTGAGCACTAATGGTAGACAATAGCTAAGAGGCCAAAACACTATATTGAGCAACAAAATCCTCATACGCCTCATTGGAAATAAAGGCTCCATTCTGTTGAGTTAATCGATCAACTAAATAGCCAAGAGGGGGTGAATTGGCAATAAAAGTTTTGGTGGAAGCTTTTGCAGAAAATTGAAAATAATTGCACATCGATTTAGAGTGGTTCAACTTTCTTAACCAAAGTCTACGTCCACTACCTTAGCTATCCACACTAAAGATTTTCCACAAATTTACTAATTTTTCTTTCTTTTGAGGACAAAGAGTAACATTACAAATCCCTCAAGAATTATACCTCAAATTCTTGAGAACACTCTCTCCCAAAGAGAACACTTTCTACCAAAGAGAACAATACAAATTTCACAAACTTACAGAAAAACCTCACAAGGCAAAATGTTTGCACAATTCTAGAACAATGAAAGAACACTCAAGAATAATACAATTGAGCACAATAAGTGTTCTTGAAAGCAAAAATGAATATTGAATGAAATAGGCTTGAAAATACTCAAACTTGAGGTTTGATGCTTTCTCTTTGATTCTCTCTCAATTCTTCTTAATTGTTTTTGATCAATGGCTCCTAAATTTGTTTAAATATTTCTTGGATCACTTCTAAACGTTGGGGATCATTGGTAAAGTCAATAGAGCCGTTATTATGTAATTATCAATTAATAAAATAGTTGGGAGCGTGTGTGCATCGATGCATGGTCAAGGTGCATCGATGCATGGTCAAGGTGCATCGGTACACTGTGTAAAATTCAAATATTTCGACCGTTATAAGACTTAGTGCATCGGTACACTAGGGGTGCATCGATACATTAATTACATTCGATGTTTCAAAAGAGCTAGGAGTGCATCGATGCATGGTTTGTGCATCGGTACACAATGCATTCGAAATGGGTGTGCATCGATGCATCGATAAGTGCATCCCTTCATAAAATTGATTTTTGGCTCGATTTTTGGTTCGAAATACTTTGTAAAATTGTTTCAAAAATATTTTACATTTAAAACATAATTTTACACTTTAGTAAGGATTGAAATTGATCTTTGAAAAACTTAGAGTAATATTTTGATATACGAATAATTGAATCGAATATACTTTGAAAAAGATTGTAAAATCTTAAAATTCATTTATACTTAATTTGTTATATCGAAACATCAAAATATTTTCAACACATTCTCATCAGCAACCATCTCAGGTAGGGACTGCATCGCACCGGTAAGCAATTGTTCGAGGCGATTACTCCTTACAGTAAGAAGAGCTTGCTGTTTCCATAAAAGGAGGTTCATCTCGTCAAGAACCACTTTTACCTTCTTATTGGTAAACATCCTGACACTGTTGGAAGAAGCCACGAACGAAGCACCACACAAAAGAGCAAACGCAGCAGCCGGAGCACACCCCTCAGAATGCAGCCAAGCAAGCTCCAAGATATTTGGCGATCTTAAGAAACTCACAACAAGTATAACAAAAGTATATTCTCATTCTCTTATTTTCAACAATACAATGACAAACTTATATAGGTAAAACTATAACTGACTACTGGCCTAGCTGGTATAATTGTCTCCTAGCTGGCAAGCTTAACAGATTTGATAATAGCTCTAACAAACTTCACAAGCTTTCAGATACACACCAACCACAGTAACTGCACACCAGTTCTTATTCTCTAATAGGGTTCTATTATGGATGAGCTTTATTAATTTTATTCAAAAATTAAATGATTTGATTTAATTATTTTAAATTTTTTAAAAATATATTTTTAATTTTATTTGAATTTTGTCCGCATCTAATTACATATTTTTATTTCAAGATTAATATATATATATAAGTAAAAAATTGAAAGTTGATCAAAATTTTGGTGTGCTCATTAATATTTAATGTACAAATTTATAGAATTTGAATTTTGTTGTTATTCTAATACAAAGTTGATTCTAATGAAAATATGTTTAATGAATAATACTAGTTTCATGCTAACAAAAGATAATTGAAGATTTTGTTTTTATGAAAGTACTTAAATTTTTTAATATTTTATAAATAAATTTTTATAATAATTTATAATATATATATTTTTATAACTTTAAAAATATTTTTAATTTTAATATTTTTATTCAACAAATATTTTATAATTTTATAATTTTTATATATTTTTTCTATTTTATGTTTAAAGTGTTACGAGCACCAACGACTGCAATAAGATGATTGAGCGTTCATTGTCAAATGGTCGAGTGTATTTAGAATAGATACTACTTTGTAATCACCTTAACTTAATAAAAAAATATAATAAATAGGTTGCTATTGATAATGTGCATTCGTATATTATAAATTGTTACTAGTGTTAAATAGTAAATCACGTTTAATTATCTATAAAACATTATAAAATTAATCCACTATATTTGAACTATTGCAGTATTAAATTATTGTTTTAGTATCATTGTATATTTTCTATGATCAATAAATTTTAAATTTTATAAGTTTAGATAAACTATTATATTTTCATACATATACAATTATTGTATTTAAATTATGTTATTCTCATAACGAACGTTTTTTTTTTATTATTAATTAATTTAACTTAATAAAATTTTAATATATTTATATAATATTTATAAATATATTTTCATAAATTATAGAATGACCATATATTCATTTAAATTTTATTTTCATTTCAAATATTATCATATAATTATATTAATTATATGATACATGCACCACAAGACTCACATCAAAGGAAGATGAACTAACACTTCTAATCCACACGACCAAGTCTTGGACAAGAAGACCAGAACAACAACAAACTTGCAACGACTTTTTGAATGAGATCCATGTGTTATTTGGTCAACATGTGATAACATCGTAAAAATATTACTTTTAAGGCCTTTTCAAGTTATTGTTTGTTTAATGGTTCATATAGGACATTTTAAATTCATTTAGTTGCATATAGTTGCATTTTTTGTGGTTGTTCTATTTTACTTTGTTAAGGTGCTATATGATGGGAAATGTGTGGTTGCTAGTGATGTGCAAGAAACAAGGAGCATAGGGCAAGCTGAGAATAATGCAACGACATCACATGTTGCTGAAGCAGACTGCAATGCCTTGGCATTTTTGGTGAAGAAGAGGAAAAAAAGATATTTTCACAAGAGGACAACTGTCAAAGCACGTGTCTGTTTCTAATAACCGCCTGGAGGGGTCTATTACCACCCGTGGAGATAGACTTCACGTACAATGAATGACTTAGGGGGTATGATGAGTATTTTTGAATGCAAAATTCCCAATAATACCCTTAGATATTTTTATTATTAAAGGACACCACACAAGAGAGAGGAAGAATCCATCATCATCTTCTCCATTTTCTCTACCTCCATTACCGTTCCTCTTTTTCCATTTGTATTGGTATTCCTCCATTGGTGAAGCTTGAGGGAGTGGCGTAGCATCCGAGAGGAGCTCACGCTATAGTCGTTCATGGTGGTTTGAGGGAAGTGTCAACCGTGCACACCTAGTGCTTTCTTCTCCAACCTTTACTTCATTGTTAAAGCTTGAAACTTTATTTGGGTTGTAAGATCTAATGAGCGATTGGGTATACTCCATGGTTTGTTTGAACCCCACCATAAACTAAGCTATATTTGGTGGGGTTCATTTGATGGATGCTTGAAACTTTTTTTAATGGTTGGTGAATGTTTATATTTTGTTTTTACTTGTTTTGTTTATGTGCACTTCATCTTCTAAGATTGTGGGAGGCATGAGAGTGTCCATTTCTTAGATGAAGACTAGATGTTCGAGAGAAATCTAGTCACTAATTCTTAAGTGTTCGAGAGAAACTTAGGAAGGATTAACATAAACAATGGGATATAATTAATCACTATAGCCTAATCCCTTTGTACTTGAGAGAGACTAATCTAGGATTTCAGCGACTAAGAGGGGTAGTGTATCATCAATAGTGTAAACTACCATAGTTGAGACTGAGGAGAGATACTGTGGCATTGTATTATGTTAGGTTCTTATGACTAGAGATAACGAGAACACTTTTAGCAAACTCCGTCGAACAAGTAAAACATTAGAAGACTAGATCAGGTAGAAAGATAAGTTTTCATCTCCTTAAGTGTCTCCCCAACATTCATTTCCGAAGTAGTTTCCCATGTGAGATTATCAAGCTAATCATTTATTTTCTATTTTTACCATTTTATATTGCCTTGGCATTTTCATCATATTCTTCATTATAAAATGCTCTTTTGCCTCGACATTATTCACTCAATCACACTCCCTCCTTATCATTTCATTCACTCACTTTTCCATTGTTAAAGAATCATCAGTGTATATATCATTTCTATACTTTGATAAATTGGACAAATTCAGAATTTCCACCAGTCCATGTGGAGATGATACTCACTCATCACTTTATTACTTATTGCGATTGTGTGTTCTTGCACATCATCTGCGTATAATATTTTGGCACTCACAAAACACAAGTTTTTGGCGCCGTTGCAGGGGATTAGCAACTGGAAGTTAATTAGTTTTGTCATATCATTTTTATTTTACTTTTTCATTTTTTATATAATTTTACTTGTTATTTCCTTTTCTTTTTCAGGTTTTTCTTGGTGTATGACCAAAAGACATTCCGACGAGTTATTAGAACTAATTGAACCTGAGATTGAGAGGCTTTTTAGGCAAAAGAGACGTGGTCAATGTGCTCAAGCAAACATGTATCAACTTGGAAATGAAGGAATTGATCAAGAGGAAAATCTGAATGTCAAGGCAATTACGAATGCTGGGAATGCAGCTAGGCCTCGTACTATTACTTAAATCATAACTTAGATGACTTAAATCCTAGAATTGTGGCACCTGAAATTAAGGCAGCCCATTTTGAGCTCAAACCAGTTATGTTTAATATGCTAAATTTTGTAGGGCAGTTTAGGGGCATACCTTATAAAGATGCCAGACATCATATTCGTAACTTTTTGGAGGTGTGTGATTCTTTCCGACAACAAGGAGAGCACGAAAATGTATTGAAGTTAAAGTTATTTCCATATTCTTTTCGTGATCGAGCAAGGACATGGTTGAGTGGTGTTCCAACTGGCTGGATGGAATCTTGAACTCATATGTGCAAAACCTTTTTGCTGTGGTATAATCCGCCGAACATGAACACCCAACTTAGGAATGACATTTCTTTTTTTTTTTCGTCAATCTGATGACGAATCAATGTATGAATGTTGAGATTGCTACAAGAGTTTGTTGAGTAAATGTTCTAATCATGGTTTTCAAGACTGGACTCAAGTAGTTATGTTTTATAATTAGAGTCAATGCCCACACGAGGATGATGTTCGATGCCTTGAAAAATAGGACATTGCTCGATAAATCACCTACAGAGGCATATGACATCATGTATAGGATTATCAAAAATGATTATCAGTTTACATCTTCAAGGATTGGAGATGGACGAAAAGCTCCTTGGACATTCGAATTGGATAATAAGGATTCTGTGTCCGCCTAACTTTCTACATCACCAATATGTCAAAGAATTTGCAATGACCAAGTGAGGTGAAAGAAGTCAAGGCAGCTAACTCAGCATGTCTATTATGCCATGGCAGTCACCATGAGAGTGAATGTCCGACAAATTAGGAGTACATCAACTATGTAGGGAATTATAATTGAGGCAATAATAACCCCTATTATAAAACCTACAATCTTGGATAGGGTCATCATCCAAATTTCTCTTGGGGAAATCAAGAAACCAGCAATGCTAGTCAGTCTGCTAGGCAGCAAAATTTCAATGACTCCCAAGGTTTTCAAACGAATATACCATAACATAATTATAACAAGAAAGTACCATCTTCATCCAACACAAGCTCTTTGGAGGCCACAATTCAAGTTTTTATAGCAACCATGAAGACCATGTTGCAAGACCATGCTACATCCATAAAAAACCAAAGAGCCTTATTACACAGTCAAGGAACTTTGCTTCAAAGCCACAACTCATCTTTGAGGGCCTTGGAGGGTCAGGTTGGCCAAATTGCCATGATATTACATTCTTGCCCACAAGGCAGTCTACCTAGTGATACTGAAGTCACTAAGGCTCAAGATAGGGAGCATTGTGGTACATTCACCTTAAGGAGTGACACCAAAATCTACAAAGATGCTAAGTTTGGGAGGAGACACTTGGAGAGCTTAGTCATGAGATTGTGCATGAAAATCTGAAGATACAAGAAGATTCACATTCGATGGGAAAAAAGGATAAGGGTTCAAAGAGTGCAACCAATGAAGACAAGAAAAATTTTACCACGATAAAAGAAAAGCCCCCATCAGTAGGAGTTGATGACCAAAGAAAAGCTGTAGAATTTTGTCGTAACAAAGTTTTATGCACTGATAATCACTTGAAGCTTGATGAAGAAGACAGAGAGGAGCGAGAGGATATTTTAGAGGAGATGAGTCATTATAGCTTACTCATAACTGCACCAAGTACAAAATTTGAACCTTTGGATTTCATTGAATTTACTCATCCTAAACCTCAAGTAGCTACCTATCTGTCTAGGCTAGAAATTTTGAAAGAATTAAGGAATGAAATGGAGATTAAAGGAAAATTCCCTAATAAGAAATTATTATTTACTGTTGTAATTTTATGGTATGATGACAATGTCAATTTTCTCGTTAGTGGTGTTTTGCTTCCTTGAATATCTAGGGAAAGAACAAGATCATACACGATGTTGGCTACTATCATTAGGATAACCCCTACCTTGTCAAAGAATTTGCTGCCCAAATGATTAAAAGTTGTCACAACAAAGGGGAACAAAAAAAGATCTCGTTCCATTACCATTCATCTTCATTCAGAGAGCACTTTGAAGAAGAGAGGACAACTGCAAAGGTCCTACAATTCAGATGTGAAAGACACAAAATGTTAGGGAAAAATATTTTGAAGGTGGAATTGTTATATGTGTGGGCCATTTTGGTATATACAGATGCTCTGATCGAACATGACAAAAATGACATAATAATTCAAGATGTTTTTGAAAGAACAAACTCCTAAACATGTTGAAAAGGGTAAATCCCCTATGGTAGTTCCACCAACTCAAAAAAAAATACTCAATTGGTGTTGTCACAAACGATGACATTACTGATGATGTTCACCCATCTACACAAATTCCACGGCAAATTGCAACACTTCTGGCCAACCACCGCCTAAAGATGACAACCAATCATGTTTGGACCACACCAAAATTGGACTCCGAACACTACAGCCCCATACCATTGCGTAAGAGCACCAAGCGTGGAATTGCCAACACCTCCATCGTGACACCACCACCATAGAAATCGAGGTACCTCGTCTTCCGCTCATTTTGCATTCATTTTTGCATAACATGACATTTCATTTAGTTTAGTTAGTTACTTAGTTCTCTTAAGTTTTAAGGACAATGTTTCTCTCATGTTTGGGGGAGTTGTGTTCTTTGTAGAACATGTGCGTGATAGTATTAACATAAAGTTATGCCATGACATCAATAAATGGTAGGACAGTTAGATGAAATGTTTTGATGATACCCGATGATGATGAACTTTTTAGGTTAGAAATTGAATGTAAATGACTGTTGAGAATGATATAACTGACTCTAGGGCTTGATGCTTTGTGAATTATTCTTACACAATTTGTATATTCTATATATTTAAGGAACTTAGGAAGTTTTTATGAAAGAACTCTGATTAGCCTTGGCATTAAAATTTGGTATTACGCTTAAATTATAAATCACTATTTAAAGAACTCCCTTATGTTTTAATTTTGTTTAATCATGAATAAGTGATTCGGCATAGCAATAGAGGGAGACTCCTCTTTGCTGTGACATTGCCTAAAACTCTCTTTAACAAATGATAGCCATATGTGTACAAGTGAATGAAAACAATCATGGGATAACTCTACCTGACTAGCTTTGGGTGGAAGGTATGATCCTTTCACCTAGTGTGTGGAATGGTAGGTGTGATGGGATGACTCCCTTCATAGCAGCGTAAAAAAATAAAATATGTATTAAGTCAAAAGGGAGTATAAATGTGCTCAATGATTGAGTAAATGCTGTGGCAAAACTAGGGAACTTAATTAGAAATTGCCTAGATTCATTAAGTATAGATTGGGTACAATTACGCACACATACAACCACAAAGAATCTCGACCTAGGGAAAAGTACTTGATTTCTTGATGTCTAGCATGTTGAAGCCAACTTTTATGAGGATTGAAATTCTATTGTTGTCTTAACTGTCATATTGTTGAAAATTGCCATGACATTTTGATTGTGTTAATTGTTATTCATTGCTTGAGGTCAAGCAATAGCTTAAGTTTGGGGGTGTGATAACTCCGTAAAAATCAACTTTTAAGGTCTTTTCACTTAAGTTATTGTTTGTCTAAGGGTTCATATAGGTCATTTTAGATTCATGTAGTTGCATATAATTGCATTTATGGTGGTTGTGTTATTTTACTTTGTTAAGGTGATATATGATTGTAAAGGTGTGGTAGGCTAGTGATGTAGAGAAAACAAGGAGCATAGGGCACACTGAGAAGAATGCCGCGGCATCACATGTTGCTGAAGAAGACTGCAATGCCTTGGCATTTCTGGCGCAGAAAAGGACAAAAAGATATTTTCACAGGAAGACAACTGTCAAAGCATGTGTTTGCTATTGATAACCGCCTAGAAGGGTCCACTTCCACCTGTGGAGATAAACTTCACGTACAAGGAATGACTTTGGGGGGGTATGATGGGTATTTTGAGTGAAAAATTCCCAAGAACACCCTTAGATATTTTTATTATTAAAAGACACCATACAACAGAGACGAAGAATCCATCATCATCTTCTCCATTTTCTCTACCTCTATCACCGTTCATCTTTCTCCATTTTTATTGGTGTTCCTCCATTGGTGAAGCTCGAGGGAGTGGCGTAGCATCTGAGAGGAGCTCATGCTATAGTCATTTGTGGTGGCTTGAGGGAAGTGCCGACCGTGCACACCTAGTGCTTTCTTCTTCAACCTTTGCTCTATTGTTAAAGCTTAAAACTTTATTTGGTGGTAAGGTCGAATGAGCGATTTGTATACTCCATGGTTTGTTCGAACCCCACCATGAACTAAGCTATATTTGTTGGGGTTCATTTGATGGATCCTTGAAACTTAATTTTAATGGTTGATGAATGTTTATATTTTGTTATTACTTGTTTTGTGTATGTGTGCTTAATCTTCCAAGATTGTAGGAGGCATGAGAGTGTCTATTTCTTAGATGAAGACAAGATGTTCGAGAGAAATCTATTAACTAATTCTTAGGTGTTCGAGAGAAACTTAGGAATGATTAACATAAGCAATGGGATATAGTTAATCACTATAGCCTAATCCCTTAGTACTTGAGAGAAACTAAGCTAGGATTTCAACGACTAAGAGGGTAGTGCGTCATCAATAGTTTAGGCTGCTATAGTTAAGATTGAGAGGAGATATTGTGGCATTCTATTATGTTAGGTTCTTATGACTAGAGATAGTGAGAACACTTTTAACAAACTTTGTCGAACAAGTAAAGAATTAGAAGATTGGATCAGCTAGAAAGATAAGTTTTCAGCCCCTTAAGTGTCTCCCCACCATTCATTTTCGAAGTAGTTTTTCGTGTGAAGATTATCAAGCTATTCATTTATTTGTTATTTTTACCTTTTTACATTGCCATAACATTTTCATCATATTCATCATTATAAAATGCTCTTTTTCCATGACATTATTCACTCAATCAAACTCCCTCACCATCATTTCATTCATTCTCACATTTCCATTATCGAAGCATCATCAGTGTATATATAATTTCTATACTTAGATAAATTAGACAAATTCATAATTTCCACCCGTCCATGTGGAGATGATACTCACTCATCACTTTATTACTTATTGCGATTGTGTAGTTATACATCATTTGCGTGTAATTTGTTAGCACTCACAACATGCAAGAACATGTCTTTTGAGATATGATCGACTATATCTGAGCTTTCCAATGATTCTTGAATTACATCATTCCGATATTGAGAAATCAACATACACTCATTTTATTGAAGATAACACATGAAAAAAATTCCTATACGAGAATAATACGGGATTTTGTAATTATTATAAATTTTTAATATTTTTTTTTGATTATTTGTAATATAATTTAATATAGGATAATACATTAACTTTTAGGATTAGATTTATTATTTTATTTGGAATTTAAATAGAGTTAAAACAATTATCTTTAGTTTATTGTTATTAGGAATTTTATTG